TGACGGATCCTTTTTTTTTAGATCGTATCGCGTAATACTTGCAGATAAATAAAAGATGTTTATCATCAAAAAAATGATGATCCCCCACTCTCCATTTCTCGCTGTTGCAAATATTATTTTTTTTGCATGTTCTATACTTTATAAAAAAAATAGTTAACATAACGATTGAATTATTTCACACAGTGAATGACTACTCGATGATATTCTTATCCTAGATTTTCAACCTCGTTCTGATTCTACACTCATCCAGGAATGTTGTCTCTACTCTTTACATCGTAACTCTTTTGTAAACTCTGCGGTTGCGTTAGAGTCACCAGACGCTTAAAGCTTTACCAGTTTCTATGCTACGTTGTGGGTTGTTACCATGAATGTCATCCTTCTCCCTTTTCACCCTTTGCATAGCGATCAACCCCATTCTCTCTTTTTTACTCCCCATTTTCCTTCACTCCCCACCCCCGTTATATTTTTTTGCTTTTGTTTTATACGTGTTTCTTTTTCTTTTCCTTTTTCTTTGTTATTTTCTTTTTCTTCTGTTACCACGCTGCAATTATTTTGTTCTTTTTATTTTTATTTTATTTTTTTATCGTTATTATTTTCTCTTCGTCAAAGAACAAATTTCTTTTCAATAGAGATTAAATTTTTTTACGATAAAAAGAAAAAAGAAAAGAAGGAAACAAAATTGGGGAGGGAAGTCGAAAAACAATTTCAATGTTTCCCTACTAAAAAATGATCGATTGAAAAATTAACTCGAGGAAATGGATGTATGCTTTTTTTTGTGTTTTATTATTATTTTCTTTTATCGAATATTTGTATCACCCCAAACGTTGTTATATTTTTTGAAAAATAAAGAAACAACGTTTTATTCTGACGTTTGTGAATATATTTGATAAAATATTATTCTTCGATAATAAACGAATTTTAATGCTTCAGTCGTGTCAATATTTTTTCTCGCATATTTTAGGAAAATATTTACTATAACGAACTACACCAATAAATAGTATATATATATCTCTATATAGTTTCGATCATTTCATCTAGAATTTTATATTTATGTCAACAAAAATCTTATTGTTTTCGGTTAATATTAACGCAAGAAATGATTATTACTTCATTTTTTGTTTGTTTTTTTTTCGCTATGAAATCAATTAACAATTGGTAACCCCGTTGTTGTAGTAGTATAAGGAGAAAAAAATAAGAGAGAGAGAGAGAGAGAGAGAGAGAGAGAAAAGAAAGAAAAGTTAAAGTATACAAAAGCAAACGTTTCAATATTTGAAGCGTATAATCAAAACGGAAACCTATGCGAACGTATCAGGTGGTTTGTTCGAAATGTAATATTTGTTTTACTTACAAAGACCTCCTTCGTTATCTATCTTACTTCAAAAACTTTTAAATTATTTAAAACTTTTTAACAACAAATATTTCAGTTGTGATTTAAAGTTACATTTTAACGTGTTTCGATTGGTTAAATAAATCTTTTTAAATTTATATATATTTTTATTTATATTTATTATTATTATTATTATTTATATATATATATAATATGTTTCGCAAATGTTAATATTGAAAATTATTTTTTTGTAAATTTTTATTTCTTTTTTGAAAAATGCAAACCCACGTTTAAAAATCGTTCAATTTAAATAAAAATAAATGCACTCTTATATATACTAATCATCATAGTATATATATAAAATATAAAAATGTATATTTTCATATTTATTCTTCTATTTTCAAAATCTCTTTATATTTTAAATACAACAAAAAAACAACAAAAAATCAATAATCTTTATATTTACCAATCGAAACAAATTAAAATGATTTTCCGTATAACATAATATTTTTGAATAAAAATTATATTTGATCTATATATATTTGAAAGCTATTTCTGAGATACAAAAATAAAAATGAGTTTCGTGTTCAAGAAAGATAGATGTTACATATTTTATACATTGTGATGTCAATGTTCATGCATTATAAAAACTAGTCTTTTGGGAATAAAGATTCTTCTCGAGCGAAGACTTAAAATAGAATATATGTATATAGAAAAAGCACGTTTACATCTTCGATATTCTCGATATTAATTTCAAAGCTAGGGGCAGCAGTAGCAGTAGCAGCAACATCGTACAAGAGAGCAGAGAAAATAAATCGGCTTTCAGAAGCAGAAGAACCGTACAAAACCGTCGATAACAGGGTCCACTGTTAAAGGTAATACTTGCGTTTATAACGAAGGAATCTTCCTAAATGTATTCAATATTCTAAAGTAATGGCAGCACTCACTCGCGTATTGATTTCTCTTTTTCACTCTTTCGTTTATCTTTTTTCATTCTTTTTCACCCCCGGCCCCACCCCTATTCATCTTCCTATACAGGAAACAAACGCTATCACCCAATATCAATATCGTTGCAGTGAGAAAGCTAGTTTACTTTTCCTTTTTTTTTTAAGAAATAAAGGAACTTAAGGGACACACACACATACCAAGAAGGAACAATGATTGTGCTATTTACGTTGGAGAAAATTGAAAACATGACTTGACTCGGTTTGTCGATCATAAGTAAAGTATAAATGTTTGATTACCATCCACTTCGAACACTTATCTTTTATTTCTTTTTATTTTCTTTTTTTTTCTTTTTATCAGGATTTAACAATCGTTCGATCAGTACCAATCTTTTATATTTTTTAAACTATTTCTTTAAAAAAAAAAAAAAACACAAAAGGTAAGTAAGAATTGTTAAGTTTAAATTTTAATTCGATTCTGTATTTCTTTTTAATTTTTTTTTTCAAACGTTGAAATCCTTTTTTTCCCCGTAAACCAGATCTCACGTAGAGACACAGACATTTATTTTTATGAATTAAAAAAAATAATATATGTATTTAATAAATGACAATTCATTTAAAAGTTTGTCAGTAAAAGAAGGAACGTGTAAAATATTTACCGAAAAGTTTTCGAAAAACGAAAAAAGAAAAAGATGTAAGTGGGGGAGGGTGTAAAAGGAAGGAAGGAAAGAAAAAGAAAAAAGAAGAGAAGAGTATCACAGAAGAGCCGGTTAGAATTTCTTCAGAGAAATTATACCGTTCTATTTTCAAGGTAAAGTCGTTAATTAGCTTCCTACAGATAAATTTCCTCCTCCTCC